TCCAGCATCAATAGAAAGATAAACAGAAGAAAAACGTCATCAATTTCAGATCCTGTGTTGCATTGTTCTATCATTACATGCATGCAACGTACTTTATTCTGACTGAATAGAGCTTCAAAGGATCCAAAATATCTTTGCTCCCTGCTGCTAAATTAATCTACATAGTCTGTATAGCAGTATAAGCTAGTTCTGACAGGAAAGAGATATTAAGCTCTCTGCTGTTCCAAGTGGATGAAATGTCTAGGCTTCAACTTTTCCCATGGTACCTTTCCTGAAAACCTCAGACAGTAATATATTAGACAGTAAGATCAGAGACTAATCCTGCCTTCCAGGATTCAGACTGCCACACGTTTCACACAACAGCAAATCCTGCAGTCACATCCCTGCAGTATTTTCTCTCTTACCAAGTCCAAATCTGTAGCCGTCAGAGAATCGGGTACTGGCATTCCAGAAAACACAAGCGCTGTCCACATGCTGGAGAAAGAACTCTGCCGTTTTTTCTGGGAAAGAGGCAGAGAGAAAAATAAAATCCAGTATATACAGAATGTTCATGGACTCCAATAAACACAACATAATACAGTGAACAGATAAAACAATACAACTTTCACATGCAACCTTATTAGACAGTTATTTAAACAGCCTGGGCTAAGACATGTTCATTTACACCTTCTTCCCAGTATGCTTATCAAGTAGATGCAGCTGCAAAAATTACAAGAAGCTTGCAAAAATTAGAAGAAAGCAAAAAGACGTCTAATTCTAAATACATCCAGTCTAGAACCTGTGAACAGGGACAGTTGTATGACTGGGGAGAAAGGACAGCTGCCCCAAACAACATTTTGCAGTCAAACAGACAGTTAAACTACAGAGTTTATCTGTATTTATTTATCTGTATTATCTATCTCTATTAGTCTCAAACATGGTATTGTTCCGGATAATGAAAAGTCCTAAACTAAAGTGCTATTGCCGGTAATGTTTGGGAAATGTAGAAATGCCACATGAAATCAGGTAAGTAACCCAGTTTAACACAGAACATGGAAGACCTGAGCAAGCTCAAGCAGAGTTATAGAAGTCTTAGTCCTCTGGAGGACTCCATTCTCTGTAAGGCTGTTAAGCTGCACATCAGTCACCCTTAGTGACAGATGAACATTAAAGATCAGCTTTATTTCCAGTACATTCCCTAGCAAACCACTAGAGCACCAGGTCCCAAGGCAGTGGGTTACTGTATCAAATGCATGCCTTTCAGTGACACTCATTTAAGCTTGGCAGGAGGTACAGAAACAGAAGCCTGCTTGATTCGCAGACTGATCAGCCACAGATCAATGTGATCTTACTGCAGCTGATCCTCGGGAGTTCCAGGCTTGGTCTGAGAGTCAACCTTTGGCTGGGTGCCAGCGCTAGCTAGGTTTTGAACTGGCACACTGTTCAAATGGCATGCAGGACAGGTGCTAGGGATGGGAGCAGCACAGAGCGGCACAAAGGAGCACAAGTTCACAACAAAGAGGCAGGAAACTGCAAATTGAGATAAATGCAGCTTTTATACAGGGATGCAGAAGTAGGAAGTAAAGGACTGGGAGAGGCAGGGGGAAAACATTTATGGTCCTTGTTTTCAAGATACAAAAATGACATGGGATGACAAAGTTGATCAAGTCTGATCTTCCATACAATCCCTATTCCCTCCAGTGAGGTACTATAGAAGCTCACCTCATCAGCCTTCAGAGGCCTAAGGACATCTCCAGGATTCAGGAGATGTTCCTGCAAAACCCTCTGATGCGGTTAAGTCTGCACAATATAGAAACACAAAGCAATTTGCCTGGCAAGAGCATGTGCTGACTTGCCATTGGCCAATTGCTCAAGCACATTCCTTAACATCCTGGAATAAGGGCCACAAAACAACATGTTTTCTCTGAGCTAAACAGCACTGGTAAGCGCATTTAACTCATAGGCCTCCAGTTGGTGATACCTACTACAGACCCAAGAGAAGAACAACTACTGCAATGTAAGTAGTTACACTAACACCAAGAATTGGCAGTCAAACCAAAACAGCAGGAAGCAGATGGATCACTAACCGTTCTCTGTGATGATAACATCTGTGTGAGAACTTCCGTACTTGTGGATATGTTCAACAGCCTCTTGGACACTGTCCACCACCTCAATGCAGCACTCCAGGTCTCCATATTCTGTGCGGAGAGATTTCACTTCTGAAGGGCTGAATGTCAAGTAAGATGCAAACTTCGGGCCAGCGTGAATCTTAACCTGCAACACCAGAAACATTTTGTGCTGCTGACCATACCAATGCCTTCCAGGCGAAAGTGTGGCTTCTTGTAGTGTGTGGGATGGAGTTAATCATCTTCATAGCAGTCCCTATGGTGCTATGTTACGGACTTGTGACTAAAACAGTGCTGAAAACACACCAATGTTTGGCTGTTGCTGAACAGAGCTTGCACAGTGTCAAGGCTTTCTCTTTTTGCCCCACTCTGTCCCCCTAGCAAGAAGGTTGGGAGCGTGCAGGAAGGTGGGAGGGGACACAGCCACGACAGCTGACCCAAACTGACCAAAGGGATATTCCATGTTGTATAGTGTCATGCGCAGCAATACAAACTGAGGTGGGGGGGTGGGGTTTGAAGGAGGTAGGCTTTGCTCAGAGACCGGCTGGGCATTGATCTACTTGTGGGAGATGGTGAGTAATTATCTTTGCCTCACTTGTGTGGGTTTTGGGAGGTTGTTTTTTTTGTGCCCCCCCCTTCCCCTTTTTTCTTCCTCTTTCCTTCGCTTATCAAACTATCTTTCTTTCAACCCACAAGGTTCCTTGCTTTTTCTCCTCTTATTCTCTCCCCCTGTCCCACATGGGGCAGGGGAGGCTGAGTGAGAAGCTGGATGGTGCTTAGCTGCTGACTGGGGTTAACCCACAATATTTGTGAATCAAATGTTCACTGCAGGCAGTATAAGAAAAATAAGCTTACACTTTGGGAAGCTTAGCAGATTGGTGAACTAGCGACAAGGTACAATAGCTGACATGCTAGGTTGGCTACCTACAATGACATGCTCCTAGTTCAGGCCTCATTTCAAATTATTTAAAGCAATTGCATCATTTAAAGTCATCAGGCAGGAGGACAGTACAACACTAGTACTGGGAAAACAGCTAAAATATTGCAGCCAGCCCTTGTTTTAAGAAAGCAACTGCAGTGCAGAGAATAACTACAGGAATGCTTCCAAGTTAGCACCTACAAAAGACTTAAGATCTTGAACAGCATTTACTCTTTTATTTTGTAAACTAGCAGCAGCCCTCTCTGAAGCATGTTTCAGACACAAAGGAGTTACTGTGTCCAAAACAAGAAAACTCTTGCAGATATTTTTAATTTGTTATAAAGAAGATCTAACGCATTGTCAACCTCTGAGTGTAATCATAGCAGCCGAGACACCTAAACAATGAGAGATAATTTAGAACTGATAGAGCTGAGACATCCCCATGCAAATGAAACACAGGAAATTTTGACAAAACAAACATAAATGGGAAATAAGGCACAAGTCTGCAAAATTTGAAAGTTGAAGGCTTTTAAGGAGGTATATGTAAAATGGCATTTTCTGGTGGTGGGGGAAATGCACTAGTCCTCACATTCCTCCCATCCAAAATCCAGAGATCTACCCTTCACTCTACCCTTCCCAAGAAAAAAAACAAACGACATGAAAAAAAGTCCATTAAGTGAGGACTTGTTCCTGACTACCTATCAGTTTCTTTTACTATGACCTTTTCAACATCATCAAAACATTTGGCCTCTCTACTTTACCTGCATTAATCACTGCATGTACACTCTAATTTCCAGGTATATACTGCTGTGTGAAAATCCTTGATTTATGTGCAATTCATACTACTTGATGGATATTTCTCTTGATGCATCTCTGCTACCTTTACTGACAAAACATTACCCATGTCAAGACAATTAGTTAGTATACTGGCCTTTCGCTGTTCCTTTGACATACTAGGAAGGAAAATGGATGGGGATAAAGGGCATGCAAGATGAAAGGTTTAAAAAAATGTGGACGAAGCAGATTCAGAAAGGAGGAAAACAGAAAGGGAATTCACTTGGGTAAGAAGCTAAACAACAGATTCAAGAAGAAGAGGCTTTGCATCTGGGAGGTTAGCAGCAATTATGTCAGAATTAAGAGGGGCAGAGAAAGCGTTGTGTATATGCTCTTCTAAGGCAGAAGATGATTTTTGCTATAAAGGAAGTATTTGTATCCCAATAATGGCACGTAGCTGTCCTGATGAAGCCGCTTTCAGATCATTTCTGTGGAAAAACCTGGGGTTGTGTGGAGAAGCAGAGAAAGTGCTCCGTAAGTTCATTTACATGTATGAAGAGACATATGGATAACTTAAGTGTTATGCCATCATAAAACTCAACAGGGCTACACCAGCCAGAACAAATGCTTCTGAAGTGTTAGGGAAAAAAAACCCCACAAAACAAAACACAAGTATGAGTGACTAACCTGTTCTACTCTCAACATGTCTATGATCTGATCAAACAACGGGGTTCTCAGCAAGTCTCGATGAATTAAGAGAGTTTCCAGAGCATTACAGGCAGCAGGATATTCACACTTTGAGTCTCTGACTGAGGTTTAAGAGTAGATAATTGGTTACAAAACATTTACGACGAAGATTTTGAACAGCTTATGAATTATCAATTGCTATAACCATATCGCATACTCCAAATATGAAGTTCAATTACACCCATGAGATTCATGTCACCCTCTCCCAGCTTACTTATTCGTGTGACCTTCTCAACGCTGGCATCCGTGTCCACATACACGTGACAGATCCCTTCGCTGTGTCCCATCACTGGAATTCCCTTAGCAGCTTTCTGGATATTCCTGACTAGCTGTGATGAACCACGTGGAATGATTAGATCTATCAGCTTATCCAAACGGCAGAGATCTTCCACTTCCTCTCTTGTGTTCACCTGTGGTAGTTGCAATACAGTCTGCGGGGTTTGAACTCTCAAGTTCTGTCCATACTTTTTTATACATACCATAGCAAAGGAATTGTTGATTTAATTCTAGGCACTTACTAGTTGCACTGCATCTTTGACTCCGTGAATGGAGAGTGCTTCTTGTGTCAGATGATGAAGGATTTGATTGCTATGTGCTGCCTCTTTCCCTCCTTTAAGTAGTAAACCATTTCCACTGGCTATGGCCAAAGCAGACACCTGTCAGAAAAGATTTATTTTTTAAAAAAAGAGAGAGAGAGAGAAGAGTAATCTGTCACTTCTGTTGGAATAACACCCACAAAATAGATTAAGAACAGGATTTTTAATCCTGTTTGTTTACTCAATGTTAATCTACTATTTTCATTTTATGGCACAAAAAAAAAAAAATCATTACATGTATCGGCACATTTAACTCCAGAAATGAAATGTGTTAGTATTTCAGGAATGAATTTGAGTTTTCATGGTACTATGCCAGGGGCAGACTGCAGTAGGTAACTTAGAGGAAACCCTGGACTTAGGCTCTGGTATGAATTGGGTAGCTGTATGGGCAATCACCCCAAGGAGAATAATTTTAGGTGCAAGAATTCTTGTCCCTAATCATTTTGACAGAAAGTGGCTAATGAGCTCTTCCTATGAGCAGGAAAAACATTTTCATCATGCTGTCTAAAACAGAAGTCATAAACAGAGAACACATGCCCTAAGTATGGGAAAAAACCTTCTAGACAATAGGCCGAGCGTCACCTGTATCACTTTGCTTTCATGTTGTCCTGGTTTCAGCTGGGACAGAGTTAATTTTCTTCCTAGTAGCTGGCATAGTGCTGTGTTTTGGGTTTAGTAGAATAACGTTGATTAACATGCTGATGTTTTCAGTTGTTGCTAAGTAGCGCTTACACTAGTCAAGGACTTTTCAGCTTCCCATGCTCTGCCAGGCGCACAAGAAGCTGGGAGGGGGCACAGCCAAGACAGCTGATCCAAACTGGCCAAAGGGATATTGCATACCAGATGACATCATGCCCAGTATAGAAACTGGGGAGAGTTGGTTGGGGGGCAGTGATCACTGCTTGGGCACTGGCTGGGCATCAGTCGGTAGGTAGTGAGCAGTTGCATCACTTGTTTTTCCTGGGTTTTGTTCCTCCCTCTCTCTCCCATTGTTTTCCTTTTAATTAAAATTTTTTGTTCTTACCATTATTATTTTATTTCAATTATTAAACTGTTCTTATCTCAACCTATGAGTTTTCTTACTTTTGCTCTTCTGATTCTCTCCCCATCCCCCCAGGGCAGGGAGGATGAGTGAGCAACTGTGTGGTGCCTGGTTGTTGACTGGGGCTAAATCACGACACATATTTATAACCAGGAGGAACCAACTGATAGTGTTGCCTTTCTGTTTAAGGTGCCAGATCTCACTCATTTGAGTCCAGCAACACAAGACCATATTTCAAAAAAAATGCTCAATAGGAGCCACTGCTTTTTGGAAGTTAGATAAAAAATTACTTCTGCTGTTGAAAACATACACCCAATCTGTTCAATCTCCAGACACTAGTTCTTATTGGTGTTTTCCCCACTAAACTGAAAACCTCTTTAACAGAGGGGTGCTGGCAGGTTTTTTTATTGTTTGTTTCAGTTTTTGCTCTTTTCTACCTAGGAGTCAGACATGATAAAGCTCTCTTCCCAGACTTATTTTACTTTTGCATCCCTTTTTATCTTCCTTACCCCAATCCCATTCACAATGGCCTCATAATTTGTCCACCTATTTGAAAAAAAAAATAGCATACACTCCTTTAGAAAACAAAACCACTTCTTCTCCAGAACCTTTTAGAATGAATAAATTAAGCATTTGAAGTTATTTTACTGTATTAGTATCTTCTGGGAAAGAGCATATGTATCATTATCATCATCTGCATGTATCATCACCAAACCCGCACTCATTAATATATCAATTGTATGCTGTTGAGATGTGGATGCCAGAATTAGCCAGGCTCACACCTAACAAAGCAGTTAGCTTAGTGGCACACTTTAGATGCCGATTCATACAGAAAAATGTTAAGCCCATCAGATACACCTCCTCAGATCACCTCCTTTTGCCTTCTAATATCAAATGGATAACAAGAATCACAATGTATGATATTCTACCTCATCCTGCCGTCAGCAATTTGAAAAGAATATTGAAAAATAAGAAATACTTCAGAAAAATACACTAAAGTATAATAGTCTAGGAAGCCTACCTTACATAGATACCGTGTCTTTCTAACTTAAAAAACTAGACACTAAAATGCAGTCTGATTGTATTTTGAAAGTATCTTGTAAGTATCTGCCTCTCCAAAAGGTCAGTATCACAAGGGAAAGCCAAACAAATAAGCTTATTTAAATAAAGAATTCCACTCTGCAGGTGTAAGATTAAAAGAAAGGTTATGAACTGATCTGAAAAAACAAAAAGAAAAAAAACCCCAGGAATTAAGACACAAAAAATAAAAAAACTTTGTGATTAAAAGGAGAATGGAACATAAGGGTTTCAAAACAGTTCAGTCCCTTCAAAGAACAGTAGAGCATGACTATACTTCAGAGCAACAATTGGATTTGGTGGAACCTACAGGAAGCAGTCTGTGAAAGACGCTCGCAATTTGGCCTTGCAAGTGTTAGAGGCAAACATGCTATTTGTATATGCTCATTAGAAGCTTATTAAATCTTAATTGGTAATCTGCAATTGTTTCACCTTTACTGCAACTCAAGACTGAACTCTGAGCACTGACCTAACTCTGCGTAAGCTATCTCCAGGGAGCAAATTGAGCACACGCTCTTCCAGGGCAAAGTCACATTTCCCCTGTAATTGCTTACCCAAACAAGCCTGAGATGCAGTAGTAAACTAAGAGGGAACTGCTCCTCTGCACTCAGGGGCCACCCTACTATCAAATACAGCATGGGACAGAAACCATGCAATTCAAATGCAGAGGTATCAAAGATGATTCTCTGAAGCTGTGTCAGAGAACCTGATATGAATATGAGAACAGGAGGCTGGCAGGAAGAAAAGCAACTACCAAGACAAGCTATTCCAAGTCTGTAAAACAAAGCTGGGAAAAAAGCCAGCAAAAGTCAGTCTGGTATAAGTTTTTAGATAAGATAAAGGGGAGGAGAAAGAGGAACACATCAGCTATGCAAGGTAAGAGATGAGGGTTGAAGTCCAGGAATACAGACTAGAATTCAACAAGGGAACATACTGGTTATCTATGAAAAACAGAGCTAGCAGCAAGGAGCTAATAATTGTAGACAAGGGAGAGCAGTGCCTGTTTGTTTCATGGCAACTTTGCCTAGAGCATATTCCCTTTCACTACAAAATGGGGACCACTCACAAAATTCAAGCATGAAGTACCAAGCTATCCGCTGGCCGAGTCTCACTTCCTTTTAAAGTGCCTGTACCTATCACTTTCTCCTCAAACACCTGCTCGTATGTTAGAGAACTCCTCAGTCAATCTTCCTAGACACCTAATGTTAATTATGGGAAATAGTGTTGATAATGAAGTTTTTTTCTTTTCAAAATCTACTACAGTTGCTCAATAAAGTAGACAGGAGTTAGAAAGTAAGATCAAGGTTGCCTCTGCAACGTTAGTTCAGCCCCCTTATTTTCATGCATCATAACAGCATTTACTCACAGCAGTACTCCCACACAGTGCTGCAGATGAAGGTATTTGTCTTTAAGATGCCTGCCTTATTCCTGGCACAAGATACATGACAATCACTTACAGTACATTATTTGAGATTTTCACTAGCCTTTCCAGCAACTTCCATACTTAGGAACTTAGAACACCATTCTTCCTCACACCCATCTCACTACAACTGTGTAAAAGCTATCATTCCGCCTCACTGCACACAAGCAGTATCAGTACAGGACAGACCACTCAAAGCCTGGAACTTCCGTGCTTTCTAGGCTCAGCCTTTTTTAATTTTTTTTTTTTTTTTTATTCCTAACAGTTACAGTTAATTATTAGCATCTGTATTAAAGAGTTGCTGTTTAATCCCAGCCAGCAGTTCAGCTGTATGCAGCATGGACAGATAAAGGAGCCTCCCAAGCTGTGAATCAGGCACTGAACATACGTTCGTAAGACACATGCAGGAACTGCACCATCTGAATGTAAGACAACTCCTTCTATATGTCGGGTTTTAGAAAAAACAAAACAAACCAAACCAAACAGGCCTGAATAACTCTGAACACTGCAGAAGCAAGTCCTGAGAATATCTCTGCAGGAGAAATAGGGATGCCAACAAAATCAATTTAAGAAGAATGCAAGCAAGAGTCCTTTGAGACAAGACTTCTTGCAGCCTCCCAGTTGCTCACCAACAGAAATACCCTTTCTTTTGTCATCAAAGAATTCCCAACAGTGTAATCTGCCCTCCTTACATACCTGTGGAAGACAGTCAGGACGGGACTCAAAGATCACGAGAAGGACACCAATAGGCACTGTCACCTGCTCCAAATCCAGGTCTTTTGCTATTCGTGTTCGCCGAATTACACGGCCGACGCTGTCCTGTGAGGATGCTGCAATCTGACGCAGACCAATAGCCAAGCTGTTCAGCTTTGATGTAGACAGACTTAGACGTTTCAACAAAGGAAGTGCCAATCTCCCTAAAAGAAAGAAAAAGTTGTGGTGGAGATAGATTGGTCTGCCTAGGCTCAAGCAAAAGCGACTTAAACAGGAGGTGAACCTAAGGAAAATTCAGGTATTTCCTGCTCCCTAGCAAGAAGCCTACCCGAGATGAAAAACACACAGCATTAAGTCCAGTAGCCACAATAAAACCACTCAAGTGTGGCAATGATTTCATCCACCACCACATTTTCACTTAATGCAGTGTGATTTGTATATGAAGCAATATCAACATCCAAAAAGATAAGGTTTGCCCTATTTCAAGTACTGCTATATGTCTGAATTTCTTACAAATTTCTACCCTTGTAGTATTTCTGGAAGGTTTGGGCAGTAATTTCATCTTTCCATTTTATAGATAGAAATCCCAAAGCACAGACACATGCACAGCATTTCTGTTCAGACTGGGCAAGAACTGCTTGAATTTTCTAGTCTGAACACTTTCAGACAGTAAGTTAATCCAGCAATGTCCCCTCAAGTACTCTGGTCAGTAAAAAACAGTTCCCTGGCCATCTTCCACAAAGTATTACAATTCATGATGTGTCACTTTCACACATTTGCTATCCCTATATATACACATCTCAATCCCAGCTTCTCAATGAATGCATCAATCTAACAGACAAATGGGTTTAATCCCAGCCACTTAAGGAGAACCTTCCTCAATCAGAAGGGGTCATAGAATCATAGAATGCTTTGGGCTGGAAGGGCCCTTCAGAGCC